GGCAAATTTCGCGCTAACGACTTTCATTTGGCTGGCCTGCCACTTATTCTTTGGGAGCTCGCCTGGCGTGATGTAGTGCTTTATTGGCTCCCTCCAGTCAGCCCCCCAGTCTTTAGCCGGAATTTGGTCAACTTTGTGAAATATCCGTGGCTCCGGTTCGGGATGTTCGTTTGGTTCAAGAATATTCTCCTCGAGTAATGGCTCGGTTTCTAACATCGTTTCTGGAATCATTTCTTTAGCTAGGACAACGGGTTCCTTGTTAGATGTATTTGATCCCTTTGACTTTCTTCGTTTGTTGGGTGGCGGTTCGATCTCTGGTTCGCCACGGTCGCGTGCCGCTGCTTGAGACCTTGTAACGACGAGGGTTTCCTTGCTGTCTTGAATGCTTCGCTCCGAGATGCATTCTACTGGAATAACTCTCTTTAACTCAGGATCTGATGTTGACGCCAATGCGGCAAGTGCATCTGCAGTTGTATTCTCTCCCCGAGGTATACGGATCAATTCAAATTTCGAGAAATTTTTAGATAGATCCTTCACCACTTCGAGGTATGCTTCCATTCTTGAATCTTTAGCCTCGTAGTCTCCATTAAATTGGTTAACTACTAATTGCGAATCGCAATAAACCAATATTTCCTTAGCTCCAACTCCTTGTGCTAGTCGAAGTCCGGCAATAAGGGCTTCGTATTCTGCCTCGTTGTTGGAGGCTTTGAATAATAATCGGAATGACTGTTCTAGAATTTCCGATGTTGGAGATTCCAACTTGATTCCCACTCCGGATCCTTGTTTTGTTGAAGACCCGTCTACGTGTAATTTCCAAGTTTGGTTCTCCGGTTGCTCTATCGTTCCAGGTATTGGTAGTTCGGTCAGGAAGTCTGCTAAGACCTGAGCCTTCATACTGATCCGGCTTTTGAACTCTATGTCGTACTCGCTTAATTCCACCGCCCATTTCGCCAAACGTCCGGACTGACTTGGACCATGAAGTATTGTTCGGAGTGGTTGGTTAGTTAATACTTCAACCGGATGGGATTGAAAATATGGACGAAGCTTCCGAGCCGAAGTTACCACCGCGAGCGCGAGTTTTTCCATCATTGTGTATCTGGTTTCCGGATCAGTCATTGACTTGCTCACGTAGTAAATTGGTTTCTGCTCCCCACGGTCTTCCCGAACCAAGACTCCACTAACCGCGTGGTTTGAAACTGATACGTACAAGTAAAGTTTTTCATCTACTTCCGGTTTGGACAGTACAGGTGGAGTGGTTAAGTATGCCTTGAGCTGCCCAAAAGCTTCTTCACACTTCTCATCCCAAAGGAATCCTTTGTTCCCTTTTGAATTGGTAGAAAGGCAACGAC